TGAATAACAGGGAGGAAAAAAATATAGGCATATAATATATCAAAATTTTCAGAAAAAAAATCCTAAATGATGAGCATTTTATCATGGTCAAATAAAATAGAGAAAAATTCAAATGAGGCAAACAGTGCTACTATTGAAATAAAACCCAATAAAAAACATTTTTAAAATACTAAAATGATTTCAAATTTATTTTTTTCCATTTTTATGCTGTAGGGAATCATTTTGCCCTAATTTCTATATATTTTGTTTTTGGAGAAAAATAATTTAAATATAAACCAAAATAACTCCAAATTGAAAGTTGGTTTCAAATTAACTTCAAAGGGACTTTCAGTTTGATTCTTTTAAACTTCCCACTCATATTTCATATAATTTGAAGAAGTCATTTTTTCTTCTCTCATGAAAATCATTGAGTTTCATAAAGTTTCTGAATTTGAAATATTTTCAGATGGAATTCAAATCTTTTCAAAAACCCTTTTCATTTCAATTGGAAGAAGTCATATCATTTTCACTCTAGGGTTTTGTGATGAAATGAATTTGAATTCATTGAGAACAAAAAAAGGCAAATGGAAAGTCTGGGAAAGTCATTTCATTCCCTCTCATTCAACTTTCAAAAGTTTGAAATTTCACTCACTTTCAGTCAATCAATCACACAACAATCAAACAAACAATCATAAATATTTATTTAGTATAACATTCCAAATTTTAGAATTTTGGGATGTTACATTCATAGTTCTTGTAATCCCAAGAGCGGTTGGAAAATCGACAAATTGCTATCTTCCGTAGACGATAGTCACCATGATCGTATTTGAACGTACGTAGATCATCTGTGTGCTCAACCTCGGGGCAGTCTGTGATTTTTGGAAGTGGAACCCGGTGACGAGTGTACACATTCACAAGTTCCCACTCACAGTTATACCCAATATAAACAACCCAATCTCCATTTGCGCCTGCCCAAGCCTTACCCTCAAGCGATGGCATCTTAACATCACATGTATCATTATCAAGCGGCATCAACTTGCACAAGGTGAGGCTTCCGTCGTCCCCACGCCGGCGACCAGCATCATGGCGAAGAAGATAGGGGAGATCAAACCGCTCCTGAACCCTTGGGTTCTTTGCAATGATGTTATTTGTTGGTCGAGAATGGACTTGAATGAACTTGCCATGCTAGCCGAGGTGATGACGTCGCACCGATCAATGAGTTCCTCCACAACGTCATCTTTTAGATCGGGGCAAGAATAACAGGGTCGTTTCCGGCCTGTTCCCTCCATGGAGAAGACGATCGAACAATGGCAGAAGGAAGGGTGAAGGCAAATGGAGGGAGGAAGAGCGTGCGACAACAGTTCCAAATCGAGAGGGAAAGGCGAAGAGGCGGTGGACGGTTGCCACGGTACACGAAGAGGCTAGTGGGGAGTGAACGGTTGCCACAGAGGGGTCACACACTGACAACAAGGCCGTCCTCTCAGACCTAGCGCCCGCGCGGGGTGGCCTCCGTCCCCCACATGAGCGAAGCCACTTCGCACCCCACACGGTTGGTCCGCCAAGCCGCTAAGAGCAAGTACTACAATCGTGGGCTTATAGCCTGCTTACATGGCAATTTTGCCTATGTGGAGGAGAGAGACATGAAGGATTCCTGCAACAAGGACAAGCGTGCCTGGCACTCGGCCTGGATGAAGAAACTCGACAAAGCTCACGTCGTGTACGCGGCCAAGGAGACATACACGTGCTACGACATATACAGGCGGATCGTTGACATGAGGAAGTGCCTCCTTCCCCAAAACGGCCAGGGATCCAGCCGGAAGCAGAGCAATGGCAAGCGTGGTCGCAATAAGAAGTAGATGATTAGATCCTCGTTTCTCCATGAAAATGTTATGTGTGTAGTCACTTGTGTAATTATATGCTTAATTTGGTTATGCAATATTGTCTTTTTAAGTATATTAGTTGACTCGTTGCGTCAAATGGCGCAGAGACCCCCTAAAGACATGTTGTCGATGAAAATAGTTTCATTTTGCAAGGACATATTGTAGTAGAAAGCCCATGTATCAAAAATGATATATTGAAAATATGTTTATCATGCTGAGAAATTTGAGCTTGAAAAAAAAAACATATTTGTATGACATGTATAGAAAGCATTTTTAGTTGAAAATATGGTTATTACGCTGAGAGATCTGAGATTGAGAAAACAACATATTTGTATAAGAACGTCACATGGCAGAATGACCCAGTGGCAACATGTAGTGCTAAATGTTAATTACAAATCTGTAGGTTTGGGCAATCTTCTCATTTTTCTAAGTTTTGAAATTGCCACTATACTGGTATGCTTTCCTGATTCTTGATTACATACATCACTGACATGAAGCAACAAATCAACACATTAGCTGATCCAACAAAATAGGGAAACTGTAAACCACATTCTTTGGTCTATACTTCCCATGCTTGAGCCGTAAAACATTTTTGCCTTTTTTCCGAAGCGTGGGCAGCATGACCGTAAATGTTGACCCTTCATTCTCTTTGCTAAGCAGTGAGAGTACCACCCAATAGATGCTTCCATTTATCTGTTAGGGCTGCAAAAAAATAGTCATGTACAGTTAACTTCAAATTATATTAAGTCGCACTCTCACATCTTTAAAAGCATTCTGGAAAATTAAGAGTATGTAACATTATAAGATTGCATTAAAAATTTAATAGCCGCAGCTATAAGCAAATTTCAGAAAGACTCCAAGTTCAGTAAGTGACAACTGAAGACCGTAATAATCAACAATTGTAAACACCTAGCATAATTTGATAATTTAGGAGTGGATACCGACTGGACGCATAACATAACTTGATTACAATACAAACATCTGCTATGCATGAGCATCACAAGCCTGTCAAGCTTGAAACCAAGTTTGCGTCTCATCCTTGAATTGTGCCGCTGTAATTGACCAGCGATCACAATATTAGGTTACACCGTGATTTATTCAAGAAGGCTTACTGTGAATTGTAAGGAAATGAAATAAAAACCAGATACCAAATTGTTGCAGATGCACTCATGGGATAAACTCCGAAGCATAAAAGTAGTCAGCAGATGAAATTAGAAAAAACAATACAATTAGACTCACTTGATATGTTGCAGGTTAGACTCAAATCTGAGACACGCAAAATTAAGGTGTGATTTGACTGTATACAGATTATGCCCAAACACAATTGCTTGTTTTTGGACGAACAAAAGAGGGAAACTATTGCTACAGAAGATAGAATGAAGAAACCTCATCATGGGCATACCTTCAAATAATATATAGAATGTTTGGAAACATATTTAGACATTAAGAATAATGTTGGCCTACTTTAAAAATGTTGCTATGGTGGGTAGATGGCCTGACCCACCTGCATCCCTGAATCATATGCAAAACTACCTTTTACTGGCACGTCCGTGGCTATAAAATATAAAAGACTGGCAATAAGATTGTCTACCACTCCTATGGATGATTCCCTTTCTACCATGCTTTGGTCAAGTCTAAATGCTTAAACTGTTCTGCTATCCTAAAACCAAAAGGTAACATCTCAAATAGTGTTGTTTCTTTAAAATGAATCTGGGTTAGAGTATAGTACCCTTTCTTGAAGGGTATCATTGGCAGCCTTCAGTATGCATTCCTGCAAAACATTGGCACAAAAAGACACTGATGAAGGGAATTGTTGTGCTCATCTTTCTACAAGTTCAAGAAATCTCATTAGAGAAATAAAATTTCATGTGGAGCGAACCTTGGTCTTGAGCATCTTAATCTCCCTAAATATAATCCGCATCTGCTCAACATAAAGGGGCAGTGTATCAAAAGTAATAAGTTCTGAAAACACATCTGTTCTGAACACACACACACTCCCCGCCACCGCTGCCTCAAGTCTCCTCGAGCTGCCATTCTTTCCTCAATAACGGACAACTCCAGCCGCCTCCCTGCTCGACGGTGACTGCTCTAGCCCTCCTCTCCCTGTGATGGATGGAGGCACAGATCCGCGCGAAGCAGCCGTTATGGGGTAAACAAGGAGAACAACAACTAAGGTAGGGGGCGGGTACTCACAGGCACATCATGATGAGCACCGT